GGAGGAAAGAAAAAGAAGGCCGCTGCACCAGGGGGCGCCAGCGGAGACACGGCCGCTGCAGATGAGGATGAGGATGAGTACGAGGGGGGGCTTTGCTAACCTTATCCCACCTTCCGTCTAAGACCTTCACCAACTCTCTGCTGTCATGGCCGCAATGAGCCCATGTTGTGAGGAAAAAAAATACAAAGTTACATTACAAATACTTCAGTAGGTGTCGCAGATGAATTTTAATTTAAGGTGGAAGTATGTAAATTGTGTCATTTCCGATCATTGTCACGTGCACGTGTCCATTTGTTGTGCGTCTTGAGAAAATAAAATTGTAAAATGTGTGTGTGCAGTAGCTCTTGAATTAATTCAGAATCCCAATAATGCCCGAATGCATGACTCTACTAGCTCAACGCAATGCCAATGAATACAAACAGGTCAAAGGACAGATTGTAGACAGTTATTTCCTCTTTGTCTACCTCCCAACTGTGTGTGGGCTACCAATTTTAAAGCATTTTATCCTAAAATGTTGAGTCATCTTACTGTTTTTAAAGGAAATCACAATAGAGGGATGTTTTTTTTGTGCTCATGCCCCTGTGTACATTCCTGAAGAAGCTGCTATTGTATCTGATGTATATATGACATGCACAGACGAATAAACAATCCATTCTGTGGGATTCAATCGCTACTGTCTTTTCTAATTGTATGCATCATACATTTTTTTTCTCTGCCAAGTAAATTTGGTTCTATCCTCGTGAAGTTGTGTTGAAAAAAAAATCGTAAACTATGGCCTAATTTTTTTTTCTCTCCTGAGAATTTAGCTCTTTATCCTTGTAACATATTTCCTTTTCCTCTAAATGACTTATTTTTAAGTATGCATTGTAATATGACTATATATTAAGGGTACAGTGAAAAATAGATATTCGATGTATAATGTAATATTACAATGTAATATTCCATAACGGTTTTTGCAATATTTTGAGATTTCCTCATGATTATTCTTCTAAAAATAGTTTTTCCTTTAAATGTTACTTTATCCTCCTCGAATTCCAACAGTTCAAAATTTTTGACTTAAATATTTGAAAACTTTTTCCAAATTAGCAATGCAGTAAACAACAGCAAATAAGAAAACATGGGGACAGACCAACAGTATAATTTTTGACAAAATGAAATATTTGTGATGATATAGGTAGGTTGATTGAACACTAAATTATCCATGTGAATAGTTGTTTGTCTATTTGTCCCCTGCAATTGGCTGGCAACCAGTTCAAGGTATCCCCTGCCTATATAGCAGAGGACGACGGCTGGGACAGACTCCCAAGCATGCCCAGTGACCCTCGTAAGGATAAGCAGTTCACAAAATGGATCCAATAAAAAACGATTCCACGGGTGCCAAAATGAGATTATCCAGGGGTCGATTGGAGTTTTAAGTTGTAACATCACCAGTCGCCACAAGAGGACAGATATGTCTTAGTTGCGCGTATATGGGTCTTATACTCTCGTTTTTCGATATCGGTCATCTACCCAAACTGAAGTGAAAATAAAACACGAGCAGCGGCGTGCCGAAAAAACAGGAAGCTTTTTTTTGTTTTTTAAGGAAGTGGTTTGGATGATTGTTGGATGGGCTCACCTCTTTCGTTGATGAATGCTGCGAATCCCTGCAAACAAGAGGAGTGAGGCACCATTTTGATTTTATTCGTCACTTCCATCACAGCCTTTATTATGATACACGTTCACATTTCACTTCCTCTTCACCACCTCTTATGTAATGAAATGAACAATAATGAAGTGCTTCTCTCATGCTACAATGCCCTACTAATGCATAGTTTGTCTTTGCTTTTTAGGTCTTTTAAACTTTTCATTCCAAGGGCAGATATGTCTTAGTTGCGCGTATATGGGTCTTATGCTCTTGTCTTTCGATAGCGGTCATCTGCCCAAACTGAAGTGAAAATAAAACACGAGCAGCGGCGTGACGAAAAAACAGGAAGCTTTTTTTGTTTTTTTAAGGAAGTGGTTTGGATGGGCTCACCTCTTTCGTTGATGAATGCTGCGAATCCCTGCGAACAAGAGGAGTGAGGCACTATTTTGATTTTATTCTTCACTTCCATCACAGCCTTTATTATGATACACGTTCACATTTCACTTCCTCTTCACCACCTCTTATGTAATGAAATGAACAATAATGAAGTGCTTCTCTCATGCTACAATGCCCTACTAATGCATAGTTTGTCTTTGCTTTTTAGGTCTTTTAAACTTTTCATTCCCAATCATTGAGCGTCGGGGAACTTCCTGCTCATTTTGCCATTTAATCCTTTTTTTTTTTTTTTTTTTGCCATCACAATGGTGGGCCGACTTGCCATCCCTTGTGCAGTAAACATTACATACGCGTCATGCCGTTCTATGAAATAATTTTCGTCTAGTCGGAGTCAATGTGTCCGAACACATACAATTAATACGTGTGTGAAGAGCGCTTCCTGAGAACGTGTATGTTATGTGGAAAAGAAAAAAAAAAAATAGGCATTGTGCCTTTTTTTAAAAGAATTTGAGGAGAAAAAAAAAACAAAAACCAGCCAAGGTATTTTTAAAAAAATGTTTTGATATAGAGATTCAATACATATATAAATAAAAATCTCTCATTTTGTGACTTAAAAAAATGTAATGTGTTTATCTTCGAATGTTGTACATAAAATTCTTATCCCAAACACAAAGTTTTTTGGTGGGTTATTACAATATTAAAATTATCACAGAGTTTGGAGAGAAACAAGAAAAAAAACAAGAACAAAAAAGAGCTTTGTTATGTACATTAAAAAAATACAAAGGTTGAATCAAGGCAACTGGACTCTTCTTTTTTGTTGAATGTGTTGTTGATTTTCCCAAGAACATTCGCAGATGACTTGAGATTTTACATAATGAAATAATCAATTTATTTAAAAACTCTAACCAAATTCCTTGAGGTTTTTTTTTCTTGCTTCTCTCCAACCTTTGTTAGTTGTTAAAAAATTGTCATGCAAAACACACATTCAAATTGTTTGTCTTTCGGTTGTTTCTCTGAAATTTTACAAGACTTTCTTTTCTTTTTATATGGAAGTCTGGATCCCTCTTGTGATCACACAGCCTGAATATATGAAAGATGAGTGTGTGCGTGTGTGTGTGTGTGTGTGTGTGTGTGTGTGTGTGTGTGTGTGTGTGTGTGTTAAGACTTCAAATAAAACACATGAAGTGGTTCTCCCAAAGAACAAAACATCAAAAAAGAAATACATTTTTGTGTCTGTTCTTTTGTTGCACCCATCCACATCAGTCATGAAAAACTATTGCACGGTCCCCTGTTCCAAGATTTCCAATCAGAGAAGAAGAATTGTGCTCATTAGTTGTGGGAAGCCCTTTTCAGAGGTCCTCGCGTGAGCATTAAAAAAAAAAAAAAAATTCGGGGCAGGGATTTTTT